GGATTTATGTAAATCTGATTCAATATTAGCGCCTCTTTGTGATGTAACATCCATCCAGTTTGGTAAATGTCTTTTATCTGTAAGTAAATCATCTATTTGTTTATCAGTTTTGCCATCCGGTGACTTGCAAGTGGTTTTATGAATGATTTTATGATTCAGTTTACTGCTTCCAATTAACATATTCTTGGAAACTGCAAAGTTGACAAGTCTGCTCCCATTCTTACTTGTGTTTTCAATCAAAATATGCATCCCAGCTTGTTTTCTCAAGATATTTTCTTTGCCAGTTTTTGCATTCATGTCACCCACTGTAATCCTAATACATTGGCTGGGCGCTTATCATATGCGCTTTCCAGCTTCTCATAAAATGCCTCGTTCCCTTCCTCCTCTTTATCCTCAGTTGGTGCATGTGCATTAATTATGCGGATATTAAAGAATCTGCTTTTCTGATTCAAATAATACATTCTCATACCTAGAGGTTCAAAGCCTGTTACCATATCATTCATTCTCTTGTTTGCAACAAATCCTTTCCCAAATATATGTTTACCATCATGGCAGCTGTAATATAAATCATGATCACTCCACTTCCACCCACCATAATTCTTGAATAGCAGTAATATCTGCTCTGTAGTCAGAGAGGACATCTGTAAGCATCCTAAGGGAGCATGGTCTGATTAGGGAAAGTACATTCCAAATAAAAAGCCTTATCTCAGTAGTCCTTTTCCAATTGCTGTGTCATCTTAGAGTGGACTGGCTGGCTGTTCCTTGAGCTTTCTTAAGTGATTTTTTATGATGCAGGTTTGTTAACCCTGTGCCAACCCCCAGCAATCCTGGAGGCCTGATGTTTCCTGTTGGGGTTGTCTCCCCTAGCTGGCTTGTCCCAATTTGGGAGCATTAGGAACTCGCTCTTTCACCCTTGCATGACTTAGTGTTGCCCAGGAGTCATGACAAGAACATGCATGCATTGGACTGAGTAGGAATAGGTGGCATTTTTCATGTTTTAATGATATTCATCTGCCAGAAGAATGAGTACCCTTTGACGCCCAGATGTTCTGTTAGGAGGATCCTTTCTTGCATCAGAAATTTCCTCATCGATTCCACAGTGTGAGTGCCATCTTAGCATAAACCTGCTATCATTCTTCAGTCAGTATGAACAAGATGCTGCATTTTCTCAACATTTTCATTGGTTGTTGCTGTTACTGGCTCATAAGAACTAGAATCATCATGGATGTCTTGCAGATTTCATCAACTTAATCTAACTGTTCATAACTTTTGGTGGCTGTTTTCTTCAGTTTCACAAAAATGAAGATTAATATGCTGTTGAAACAAATATCAGGCATGGTTATGTTATTGAAGCTCTGAACATTTTAGTTTAATTAAATACCCTGAGACACAATAAATGTATAAGAATACATGACTGCTCAAATAATAGGTGAAGGAACATGCTACAGAGTGCACTGACNTTGATAGTTATTAATTTAATTAAGAAATTCCCTGTATTAAAGCTTCATTTAAAGTTAAATTACTGCATTTCAAAACCATAAAAAATGCATTTGTCTGTTTTAGGAATAAGTTCAGAATTCCTGGATGTATATAGTATAGGAAAGAATGGAAATTTTCCTTTGAAGTTAACAAAAAAGCTGGTATCAAATCTAAGAGTCCCAGACAACAATGTTGAAAAGGTATGTAGTAACATGAAATGGTTTAACCATTTGCATTAGGCACATAAAATTTGGTGTAGAGGTATCTCATAAACATACCCACACAGTGTATATGAAATATTGTTCTTAGCCAACAGTTATGAACACTGGGTGAAACACTTTCAAAGATGACAACAGGTACATTGCCAGTCTGCATCACAGAGCTTGACCAAGAAGCTGCCACCACAGTATGCAGCGAGGAGAAAGTTGATGTGCTCGTTACAGAGGACTGAAGAATAATGGTTAGAAAAATTGTAGCACAGCATGGCAATGGATGCAGTGCCATGCAGGAGATGATAAAGGCTATGCTATACCAGAAAATTTTATTGTTGGGTTCCCTGACCTGATGAATGAGCACAAAAGGGTACATGTGACATTGCAATTGCTTCAGTGACATGCAGCTGGGCACTGACTTCCTACTTTACTTTGTGACTGGTAATGGAAGCTGGTTCCACCATTTTGACCCCAAAGAAGGATGCCAGAACCATGTATAAACTGCTGAAAACATAAGGAAGATTTTTCTTTCATACCGAGAGGAGCATACTACTTGATTTCCTGCCCAGAAGAGAAGCTGTCAATGTAACTCACTACATCAAGATGCTCCAGCAACTGCGACATACACTTTGTTGCATGCGCACAATGAAAGAACACATCATTCTTCAACACAAGAATGCACACTGTCACACTACCTACACATCTGATGTTGGAGGAGACTGAAGAGTTTGACTGGGAGGTGCTTCCCCATCCTCCCTTCAGTCTGGACTTGGCCACTTCAGACTGACACCTTTTCAAGCACTTAAAAGATCACGTTGGAAGCCAGCACCATGAAAAAAATGAGGCAGTCCAGCAGACTGTGTGTGCATGGTTGCAAAATAGTGAAACAGACCTCTACTGCAGTGGCATATTCAAGCTCTTACAATGCTGGCAGAAATTCCTAGATCATTCTGGAGATTCTGTTGAATAGTCACAAAACATCTCCGATAACTCAAGACAGTATCTGTTTCTGTACATGTACTTTTGCTTTAATATAGAATGCACATCCAGATGACTTTCAATACAGCCTACATAACTTCAGAGATATCCAGAAAAGTCTTCAAAAAGAGTTAAATTTATTGTTGGTATCATTATTTTTATATATGAGGTGCAATCAGAAAGTTCCCAGACTAAGTCAAAAAAGAAATGCTAGCATAACTTACTCAATTTTTGGCTGCTATCCCCTTCAAAATAGTGTTCTTGGGAATGTATACAGCGATCCCATTGTTTTGCCACACTTCAAAAGCACTATGGAAGTAATTTTCCTTAATGCTGTCGAGTAACACGATTCCATTTGGATATCAGACACTGTTTCAAAATGTCGTTCCTTTAGTTTCATTTTCAATTTGGAAAACAAAGCAAAATCAAAGGGGGATAAATGTAGGAGGGAGGATGGGGAATGATAGGGGAAAAAACCTGTGATTTTCAGAGACGTGTGGTCAGGGACATTATCATGATGAAGGCACCAGGTGTGGTTGCACCAAAGTTCTGGTCTTTTTCATCATACATTTCATCACAGTAAAAGTCAAAGTTGACAATAGTGTTAGGAGGAACAAATTCATGGTGACGAGTCACCTGCACGTCAAAAAAAACAATAAGCATGCTCTTTGTTGAACTCAAAGACCTGCCTTGCCTTTCATGCTCTTGGTGATTATGGGCTCTTACACTGCGAAAATTGTTCGTTTGTTTCTGGATCATAACCATAAATCAACTTTTGTCACCTGTTACGATCTTAGAAATACAAGTAAAAGTTGGGTCCTCGTTCCCCTTCTCTTGTAGCTGAAGACACACGTTTACGCACTACTGCTTTTGATCATTTGTCAAGAATCGGGTAACAAACTTTGTGGCAGTGTGGCTCATGTTCAGATTTTCTGTTAAGATCTCCTGGCAAACTCTGTATCTGATCCCAATGGTGTCTGCTAGTTCATGGTTTGTTTGTCGATGGTCTTCATGGATGAGTTATCACATTTTGTCAACATTTTCTGTCATTTTGCTGATGCTTGGTCACTTTGAACATTTGCCACCTTCAACTGACAGTCAACCGGCCTTGTAACATGAATGCCATTCAAAAACCACTCTCTGGCTTAAAGAATGTTCTCCAAAAGCCTCAAGAAGCATTTCAAGAGTTTTGGTAGCGGATTTACTGTGCTTCACACAGAACTTGAGGCAGACACATTGCTCAAATTTGCCATCCATGGCAGACAAAACAAAGTATGAAGTAAAAGCATTCGTGTAAAAACAGTGCATGTTTATAGTGCTATGTCATGTGGCAGACTGATGCAATAGGTTTGCAGAAGTGTGACCTTAGGCTCCTCTCTCTTCACTGAGACAATTACAACAATAACAGTCCGAGAACTTTCTGATAGCACCTCATATAAATTCTTAAGTCTCATTTTTTAATAAAATTTTGATTTCCATAATTTTTTCATTAATTATTTAGCTTGTTCTAAATGATGATGGCAACACTGTGTGTCCCTGTTAGTCCTCCCCCATTTCACTCCATCACCACACATGCATCACCAGCTAGAAGAGTACAGTTTTGACAATAAAAAGAGAAAGAAAATTTCATTACATGAGTTCAGATTTTCTGATGTGACTTCTGTTGTGTGGTGTTACACCTGAATAAACCTGTCCATTACATGTCCAAGGAACTACAGGTACCACATATGATGATGCACCTGTTTACATACAAAGTACACATTGTCCTTGAGTTGAAGCCAGATGGGAAGCCATATCTACAGAACTGCACTATGCACATTCTGCATTAGAACAATCTGAATCTTGGCTTTCTTCTAAGTGTCTTGTTTTCTGATGGGGCTCAGAAAACTGTTACAGCTTCCAAGAGTTCGCTAGGATAGCTCTAAAATGAACATTCAGTGTGTGCCTTAATGAAGGACAGGTTTATTGGACCCCATTTTCTTGCTTTCATACTAAAATCCTCTTTTGTAGTTACCTGGCTTGGTTTTATTTGCTTGCCGACTCTTACAGTTGCCTCAAAACATGTTATATTGTATGTGCAGAAAATGTCTGGCAATTTTTATTGAATTTTAAATTTTGAATTGGAACAGTTGCCACAGTTGTATAAGAATTAACTTCTTTGTAGTTATCTCAAGTTTTGGCATACCTTAATGTTGAATGTTATACATGAGTGATTAGTCTCTGGCCTTTCCCATGTCCTTCCCAATTCATAATTTACAGTTGAAATACCATTGCTATGCAGTGTAACAACTGCGAAATTGTGAAACTAGGAAACGAAAAACTTGGAGTAGTGTAATAGGATTTTGCTTTTCAGGTTTTGGAATTTATTCATTCTGTAGCTCCATCACTTTCTAAAAACGGTCCAGAAGACAAGTTTAACAAGCTCATGCAAGTTCTGGTACTATCAGCTCTTGATGAAGGATTCAGATCACCTGTGCTGCAGTCCTGTTACTCACGTTGCATTGGAGTGCTATTAAATGCCATTCCAGAAAGTCAGTGGAATGAAAACAGAGTAAGTGAATGTACTTAATAAGAAGTACAGTTATTACTAAATCGTCCTTGTGCTTCCATTTCAGACAGGTTCCTGCTTAACATTTCCAGTGCTTTGTCAGAACTATCCACCCAAAGTTGGGTAGTAGCCCCCATGACAAGACAACATATTTCTCTTAAAGAATTCACTCTGAGCATATAATTCTTTCCTCTGTCATTAGATTTTTTTTATTCCTTGGATTTATGTAAATCTGATTCAATATTAGCGCCTCTTTGTGATGTAACATCCATCCAGTTTGGTAAATGTCTTTTATCTGTAAGTAAATCATCTATTTGTTTATCAGTTTTGCCATCCGGTGACTTGCAAGTGGTTTTATGAATGATTTTATGATTCAGTTTACTGCTTCCAATTAACATATTCTTGGAAACTGCAAAGTTGACAAGTCTGCTCCCATTCTTACTTGTGTTTTCAATCAAAATATGCATCCCAGCTTGTTTTCTCAAGATATTTTCTTTGCCAGTTTTTGCATTCATGTCACCCACTGTAATCCTAATACATTGGCTGGGCGCTTATCATATGCGCTTTCCAGCTTCTCATAAAATGCCTCGTTCCCTTCCTCCTCTTTATCCTCAGTTGGTGCATGTGCATTAATTATGCGGATATTAAAGAATCTGCTTTTCTGATTCAAATAATACATTCTCATACCTAGAGGTTCAAAGCCTGTTACCATATCATTCATTCTCTTGTTTGCAACAAATCCTTTCCCAAATATATGTTTACCATCATGGCAGCTGTAATATAAATCATGATCACTCCACTTCCACCCACCATAATTCTTGAATAGCAGTAATATCTGCTCTGTAGTCAGAGAGGACATCTGTAAGCATCCTAAGGGAGCATGGTCTGATTAGGGAAAGTACATTCCAAATAAAAAGCCTTATCTCAGTAGTCCTTTTCCAATTGCTGTGTCATCTTAGAGTGGACTGGCTGGCTGTTCCTTGAGCTTTCTTAAGTGATTTTTTATGATGTAGGTTTGTTAACCCTGTGCCAACCCCCAGCAATCCTGGAGGCCTGATGTTTCCTGTTGGGGTTGTCTCCCCTAGCTGGCTTGTCCCAATTTGGGAGCATTAGGAACTCGCTCTTTCACCCTTGCATGACTTAGTGTTGCCCAGGAGTCATGACAAGAACATGCATGCATTGGACTGAGTAGGAATAGGTGGCATTTTTCATGTTTTAATGATATTCATCTGCCAGAAGAATGAGTACCCTTTGACGCCCAGATGTTCTGTTAGGAGGATCCTTTCTTGCATCAGAAATTTCCTCATCGATTCCACAGTGTGAGTGCCATCTTAGCATAAACCTGCTATCATTCTTCAGTCAGTATGAACAAGATGCTGCATTTTCTCAACATTTTCATTGGTTGTTGCTGTTACTGGCTCATAAGAACTAGAATCATCATGGATGTCTTGCAGATTTCATCAACTTAATCTAACTGTTCATAACTTTTGGTGGCTGTTTTCTTCAGTTTCACAAAAATGAAGATTAATATGCTGTTGAAACAAATATCAGGCATGGTTATGTTATTGAAGCTCTGAACATTTTAGTTTAATTAAATACCCTGAGACACAATAAATGTATAAGAATACATGACTGCTCAAATAATAGGTGAAGGAACATGCTACAGAGTGCACTGACGGTTTTGAGGAAGGACATGACAGCAGTGTTCTACTGCTCAGAAACTTTGTTGCCATGCTTTATACATTTGTCAGTGTCCAATGACTTGCAGAAAGAAATCTCTATTGTAAGGAAATAAATAATCTTTATTGGTTAATGTAAGTTTTTCCATTATTTTGTGTTTTAACAGTCTGGTTTTATTTGTCACCTCATGTTAGAGATTCAGTTAAATATGTCAGATAAGTTTTATGTCGTAGCTGACACTGGTAGTTCCAAGTTTCTCTTTAATGCAGAATTCCTCCTGTGTTCAGGTGTGGGCTCTCTGTCAGATGTTGCATCGGGATGGTACGGAGCATTTCCACAACCAGGCAGTGGTTTGCTGTTCACTGCTGACATTAAGTCCTCATGCAATAGAGATTGCAAAAGCTTTGGCATTTGCAACATTGAATCACCTACTGGCAACAGAATTGAAGACCAAACCACTTGACAGCATTGCTAATACAAGTATATTTGCACTTCTGAAGTACTACGAGCCCGTGAATGAGCTCAACTGCTACGTACTTTATATTATTATCATGCTGGTGGATTTCTGCCTTTCGAGAGCTTATGTTGAAGATAATTTAAATTTGGTAATAAGATCTCATGTATTTTCTTTATATTGTAGGATTTTAAGTTCTCACAACAGTTCTTAAGCACATTGGTGTAGTGTTATAATTTGCATTATCTGCAATAAGTAAAGGATATATTATTTGGAAGAGACTGTGGACCTGTCGTCTGACAGATTAATGATGAATGAATGAATATTATTTGTTATATTTTGTGTGTTTCACATTAATTTACTTTTTATACTCACATATGCCCCTTTGATTGTAGGTGTGTTCACCCTGCCTGTGTAGTTGTGAAATGTACGTACAACACATGGAACATAAACAAATATACCCAATCCTAATAATACAGCAAATAATTGTGCATGTACACACACATACAGAAGTTTTACCCTTTTTCAGCTTATTGTGTAACAGGATGTGCAGATGTTGCAGTTTGAATGCAAGCTGCAAAACACCCTGAACTATGTTTTTTGGAATATTTAATTGACTTCTGGTCTGCTGGAGGAATTTTGGTTGTGCTAAATTGAATGGTTGTTGACAACATTTTTGTGATATGCTTAGCCTGCTGGTGAGTTCCTTCCCAAAGCTGACCAGTTCTTCAGACTTCCAATATCACTGGCAGGTAGCATTACCACTTGGAACATTCCATCTGCATGCCCACCAATTTTTCTTCAAATATTGACTAATTATTTCTATTTCACATACAGGAATACATATTCTACATTCTTCTGTGGTGGGGCCATAATTCATTGTTATTCTTACGTGTTCTCTTATTGCGAATTCTTATGTATGCACTTGAAGGACACACATGCATACTAAATCTGTATCAAACTTGGACATACTTTCTGTGAAAGGGAACACCTTTTATATCTATTAAATAAATATTAATAAACAATAGTACGATACTTATTCTTGGACAGTATGTATAGGAAGGAAAGTTGAAAGATAATGATAGTTTTAGTTTACTTTGAAAGTTATGTTTACAGCATTAACAATAATGAAAAATGTAAACAATATCAACCACCTCTGTGGTCTAGTGGTCAGAGTTGCTGGCTATAGATCCAGAGGTCCCAGGTTCGATTCCCGGCGCTACTAGATTTTCTGAGAAGTAATGGGTCAGGAATGGGGTCCACTCAGCCTCGTGAGGATAAATGAGGAGCTGTTTCAAGGAAATAGCACCTCCAATCTAGAAAACCAATATTAATGGCCGTGGGGATTCATTGCTTTGACCACATGACACCCTCTATCCGCTAAAGTTGGCACTAAGTTTGCTGACGAACAGCGGTCGCTTAGTCAGTATAGTTTGCTTCTGGATTGCAGACCATGGTTTTTTTTCTGTAAACAGTATGAGCCTTCTCTATATGCACGTGGTTGGTTTTCATTGTCCTTTAGATAATTATAATATTCTGACATGTTTAACATGGCTGCTCCACTGATAGAATGCACCAAAGAACAATGATCTGTGATCTGGATTTTCAAGAATGGTTTATGGCTTAACTAAAACAAATTTTTCATAATGGATCAGAAAATGTGAACCATTGGATCAAATGCATTGAAAGACAGAGCAGTTATATACAAAAATAAGATATGTTGAACTGGTGTGATTGCCATGACAAAATAATAAGAGTGTTAACCCTTCCTGGTCAATGCGTTTGGAAAAATTTCTGCAGCCAGGTCATCAAAGGATTTTAAATCTCCGCAAAGCCATTAAGCGAACTGTTTTGCTCGAAAAATTGGTGCGACAAGGGCATAAATGGGAAAGCAAAATGTATACTTACTGGCACAATGTAAGAAGACAAATTCTTTGCTTTGTAGTGGTCAAGTGTGGAGAGAGGTAATAGTGTTTCATTGGCTCAGATTGTCTGCTGTTCTCTAGTACAAAATATACACATATTCCTTTCTACTTATAACTGTCACTCTTCTGTGTACACAAACAATAAAATCCCAGTAAACTATGGACCTACACTAAAACTTTTTGTAGTATTTGAGAGTGAGATATCTTTCGAAACATTACCCAGGACACATGGCTGGTTCATTTGTGCAGGTCTTAGAATAGAGATGTGTTTCTTTTATAGTTCCCTTGACCATACATTTGCTACACACAATGCAGTCTTTGTGTTTCTTTTTTTCATAGTGGTACAGGAAGTGAAGTGCTATATTTAGTCTGTCTTCTCTCTATACTGACCCCAGATGCATCATCCAAAATATCTGCATAAAGCAAACTCTAGACATTACTTCACCAAAAATTATATCTTTGTTGTCCACTCCCTAGAACAGTGTCTTTTATGTCGGGTAATGGCATTAGGCCCATATTTATAATTAGACGTAAAAATGTCTTCACTTCAGGAACTGACACATCAGACCAGCTACTCCAAATGAACCTCGGGCTAAGCTGAAATTCTGAAATTTTGGTTTGTCTCTATAATAATGTTATTCAAAAGCTCATCATTGAAAAAAAAAAAAAAAACTAAAATTATCCATGGGCTCTGGAACTGCTAGAAGGTTAAATTGTAGCCCTGCATTTGTAATAAATATGTATGCCTTAGGTTTCTTGTCACCCATCAACATGCAGCACACTTGTTTCACTCCCACTGCCACTTTCTGACATTTTATCGCTCAATTTTTCACTCGCAGTTTCTTCTACATCGTCCAAATCGATCTGATCATCAGCGTCTATATCGAGTTCTTCAGTTAACAAAGCAATAATTGATTCTTCATTCTCAACACACACTGCATTATATTTCGGTTCTTTAATGGCAGAAGGCACATTTGTACCCAAATGCGAAACGATGCTGCTAACACTGATATGCAGCAATATATAAATGTTATTAGTTCCTCAAGAAGTTCAAATTATGACTTCCAGATGGCGGAAGGCAGCAGACAAAACATACATAAATACGTTGTATAGTATACAGTGCTAACTAGCGACGTATGATCAAAATATGACTGGAGAAAGGCGAAAGAAACATTGTCAATCATATATCAACATTTGTCCGTGTAAATACTGACACCATGTCTGTTATGGTATATCAACATATGACCAGAAAGGGTTAAGTTTTGTTGCTCACCTTTTCATTGCCTGAAAGATCATTTTGTGTATGAGACATTTATTTGATGGAGTCTTTAAAAGACAAAATAAAGAAAACACTGTATATTTTGTATATAACGAGAGCTTGTTGTAGAATAAAGCTTAATGTTGTGTAATCAATGTATTTTAGCAACACTGTTTTTACTGTATTTGAATTTTATCTGATTTACAGGAAAATCTCAGTTACATGGTATCTTGGCTGAGCAATTTGGGAGGCAGAATTTCTACTGCTATAGATTCAATTGATACTACAGTCATGAAAGAACTGATCAGTCGATGCCTGTCAGATTGGCGCATAATGAAAGTTGATAGAACTTATGTTGAGCTTACATATGGTGATCAACCTGCCTCATTATCTAGTGACATCAAGCAATAAACATCATATCCATATTGTTTTCTGCAAGTTGGATGCATAGGCGATCCAGCAGTGTGTTACATATTGAAGTTAAATGCAAGACTAATATAGTTCACATGTTACAGATACTCGGTTATAATGTCAGTGAGTATGTCATAGAGATTGTGCAGAAACTAGTTCAACAGGAGAACAGCAGTGCAGTATTGAATCAGTGTACAAACTTTACCTCATCAGTTATTCAAACATTTTGGCATGCAGGTGGTACAGTAATAGCAACATCAGTAAGTCCTGGAACAAAATTGTTTACTGAAGTGTATGTTCACATATGGTGGTTTATATATTTATTTATGGTCTTAGTTAATAATACTTTAAATATCACATCTAGCCACCATCATGCTGCCACCACCTTGCAACGTTTTATTAATGTCAGAGGTTACAAACCTTTGCTGGAGTGCTGAAAAACAGCATATTTCTTTGTATTTAGTGTATTTTCTGAAATGCAAAACAGCAAATTGCACCATCTGCTTTTTGGACAGCTGAGATGATTATATCAGCAGTGCCCAGTGCTACAAAACTAGTAACTCAAAACTCTGTTGTAAGACACTGGCTTTTCCTGTGTTCTGAATGCTAGATTTTAGCCTATACATGGGCCAATTCTTGGTGCAAGTTTAATTGTATTCTTTTGAGAGAGTTACAGGTTGATCCTTCTGTTTCAGCAAATTTTGAGGTGAAGAAAGTAAACAATTCATAACCATAATTGAATGCTTGAAGAAATGGATCAAAATAGAAATGCTGCACCACAGAGTAAAAGTAGCACTTTTAAAAACTGTTACATATATATATTGCCAGTTGGGCTTGGAAAGAAGATAATGACACTGTTTCAAACACAAATTGCAAATCAAGGTGGAATATGTGTTTCAAACTTGGCTGCAAGCAGTAATAGTCTTACACATATTGTACTAGTAGATTCCGTAGTAAAGGATTTAGAACGAAGTCTTAAATTGTTGCATGGCATGCCTGTAGATATTAACTCTTTGACTGGCGTGGGCATGTTTTAACGCCAGGGCGATGCCAGCCGTTCCCTGGCGTTGGCGTGTTTTAGCGCTTTGAAAATCTCTTCCCTTATTTGCTCTCTTGGCTCTCATCAACCAAAGACATATATATGATAGTTTTTGTGCATGGTTGTAAAGAACCCTTGTAAACTTTGTGGGGGTCTATATTACTGTCAGAACCCTCCGAGAAGGAAAAGTTCAAAAAATATTTCACATTCATTCAGTTTCACCATGGCTTCTCGCAGCAAGTGTCGGCATGTTCCTACAGACCAGCTGGAAAGTGTTGTGAAGGAGATTTGTGCTGATGATGATAGTGGCGATGAAATAATGATTCCTGAATTGAATGAAGTTGATAGTGACAATAGTACAGTGATAGACAATGATCCACAAGACAGTAATCATGAACATTTAGCTACCACGAGTGCGGTGCCTGACACGCCCATCTCATGGACGTACGGAGACATTGTACCAATAATAGTTCCATTTACTAGTAGTTCCGGGATCAAAATTGATATAACACATAAAATGCACCCCTTTTCATGGATAAAATTTTTTCTGGATGATGACTTAGTAACTCACATTACAACTGAAACCAATCGCTATGCTCACCAGCACTTCAACACACATGAGTTAGCTCCTCACTCTCGAGAACTCAATTACAAATATGTCACATCAGATGAAATCTGGACATACTTAGGAATTGTGTTCATGACAGGAATCGACAAACGCCCTGAAATTGAAGACTATTGGTCCACTAGGCCCCTATTTCACACTCCATGGTATGGACAAAAGATGTCTTTGCGGCGGTTCCAACAGATTTCAAAATTTCTTCATTTTGCTGACAACGATGCACGACCAGCTGACTGTGAAGATCGCCTGTATAAAGTTAGGCCAATTATAGACTCATTAGTGGGAAAATTTAGGAACACATATATCCCTGAAAAGGAAATTGCAATAGATGAAGGAATGATCGCTTGGAAAGGACGTCTTATCTTCCGAGTATATATGCCTGATAAACCTGATAAGTACGGTATAAAGGCTTATCTTGTTTGTGAATCGACAAGTGGATATATTTGGAATTTTGAAATTTATTGCGGAAAATCAAGACCTATAAAAGAATTAGTTGTCGATCTGTTGGGGCCACAGCTTCTAGATAAAGGGTATCATCTCTACCAGGATAACTATTACAATAGTGTAGAATTGTGTGAGACGTTATTACAGAGAAATACCTATGTGTGTGGAACCTTCAGAATGGACAGAGGAGCTCCCAAAGAACTAAAGAATGATGTAAAAAATTTGAAAAAAGGGGAATCTGTGTTTTCTAGGAAGGGGCAGGTTCTCGTACAGGTGTGGAGAGATAAAAGAGACGTCAAACTTATCTCCACTCTTCACACAGCAAAAATCGTGGAATCTGCAAAAACGAATCGCAAAGGAGAAAAAATATGCAGACCCGAGGTAACTGGGGACTACAATAAACATATGAGAGGGGTTGACAGGGCCGATCAAATGCTGCATTATTATCCTTGTTCCCGCAAAACTGTAAAGTGGACAAAGAAACTGGTGTTTTTCTTGTTGCAAATGGCAGCGTTGAATAGTTTCATTCTATTCAAAAAGTACACAACAACAGAAAAATACAAGAAGAGAAATTACAAATTCAAAGATTTTATATTGGACTGTGTAGAAAAAATGACAGAACAAAACAAACAGTGTGGAGAGGGAGAACAGTCAAGGAATGAAGTGGATGACGAATCTATTGCGTCAGACTCGAGTGCAGTCACGCCTCCGCCCGCGACCTTGAGAAGACCACCAGTGTAAGACCCAGAAAATCGTCTAGAGGGTGGCCTGAAAGTTCACAAAATGGTCCATGTTCCTCCCAGTAACAATAAGAAGAATGGTGCCATGAGAAAGTGTCGAGTGTGTGCTAAGCACAAGATTAGAAAAGAAACAAGTGTCATGTGTGCAAGCTGTGGTGTGGCTCTGCAAACTTTCATGTTTCAATGTTTATCACACGATGAAAAACTACTAAAAATGTATGAAAAGACATTTATTGCATAAAATATTGTATTTTTAATAGTTCCTGAAAATTTCATTTTTAAAAACCAATTTTTGTTGAAGTTGTTTAGAAAAAAGTAAGCACATGCATCTTAGCGACATAATGTTTAAAGGGCCTGCCAGGACAGGGGTGGGATTTAAATACCCTTCGCGCCAGTCAAAGAGTTAATAGAAAAGTCAGAGTGGTGGGGACACAGTGGCTTAGCAAGTGCTTTAGAGAACATATGTATGTGGACACAAAGGATTTCGAAGTATCTTCTATGATAAATGTAAAAGACAAAGTTAACACACAGTATAACAAACAACCATTTCATGAAGAGTATGGTACGAATGACAGTGAAGATCCAGACCTGATGAAACATGACCTAGGAGACTTCTGTACCTTCACAGTGGAGCATTCGCCACCTAAGAAACTGAAACCTGAAGTAACAGAGGTATGCTGAAGTTCTCTTGCTAAGAATGAGGTAATAATGGAGGTTAAAATAAAAATAAACTTTATTTTACCTTCATTAATTCATATATATTTTGTGATATGTTTGGTTTCTGGTGCCTCCAGATATGGACAGTTTGTTTTTTCTGGCCTCTGCTTACTCTGTGACCTTCAATTTACATTTTTTCTGTATTGAAAGGCTTGCTTTCTATCAGGAAAGTGGAAAGTTGTGCTCCCCATTACATCTTCTGTGTAGCAGAACCATTTCTAGAAAAATGGAAAAATATTTTCAGCCAATTCTTTGTAATGTTTACTTTTCTGTTCCAGCATTAGAAATTCGAAAATAATTCAAATGTAGAACCGTAAGTGAATTTTAATGTTGGTTTGGTTTAAATTTGAGTTTTTGGTATGATGAAACATACCTTCTTCAGTGTCTGCCTGTACACATGAAATGACAGTGCTTTAGATGAAACACATATTCCATTAAATTTAAAAATTAATGTCTCATTCTGAATGGTATTGAGAAGTTCTGTGATATGTACATTCTTTATTGTTAGGGTCTTACCATTTTCTTTTTGTTAGAACTAATAACATTGCAGCTTTTGTTTTATGATATTCTTTAGGAGAGACTACTAAATAGAGGCTGGAATAGTAGTACAATTTAAACAAGACTTTCTTGGAAGAACTAATTGCCTACTTTGCTTTCACTGTAATATTAGTATCTGTTATGACAAGCAGAACGAAAACTTTAGTATGTATGAGACAGTACATGAGCTATTCATATACTTCAAGAAAGCCTTTGATTCAGTCAGGAGGGAAGTATTGTACAATATTCTGTTAGAGTTTGGGGTGCCCATGAAACTAGTTAGGCTGATTAAAATGTGCTTAAACAAAACGTATAGTAGAGTCCGTATAGGTAAACATTTGTTTGATAATTTTCCTATCCAGAATGGTCTGAAACAAGGAGATACAAGGTTCAAATATGACCGGGACTGATTTTTTTAACCATAATTACCAAACACTTACTTGCACATGTCAGTCTTCAACATACGCCCCTCCAGAGTCAACACATTTTTTCCAACGTTGTGGAAGCATCCTGATGCCCTTTTCAAAAAATGCTTGTGGTTGGCGGCGTATCCACTTCCGAACAGTCTGGATGATGGAGACGTCCGCAAACCGCATGCCTTGCAAGTCTGATTTGAGCCTTCCAAACAGGTAGAAATCACTTGGGGCCAAATTGGGACTGTACGGCAAATGTGTCAGAAGGTTCCATTTCAAATTTCCGGAGGGTTTCCTTTGTTGTTTTAGCCGTATGGGGGCGTGCATCGTCTTGAAGGAAGGCTACCCACTTTCCACCTGTCTTCGCTTGGATTGGATCTTTTCCTTCATGTCTGTTACCAGGAGGTCTGAGTCGAAGAAAAACGTTACCATCACTTTTCCTGCCGAATGGCTCCTCCACACTTTCTTGGATTTGGGAGAACTGATATGCCACCACTCGTGTGATGACTGCTGGGACTCGGAAAAAGAAGTAGTGCACCCACGTTTCATTGGTGTTCACTATAGACTTCAAAAATGCATCACCTTCATCTTCAAATTGCTGTAGGAGATGACTGGCAACTTGCATGCGCACCATTTTGTTCACATCCGTCAAAGTGCATGGTACCCACCATGCATTCACCTTGCAATAGCGCAGGTGCTGATGAACAGCATTGCTCCAAGTTCCTTGATAGTGATGCGCCTATTCTCACGAATAAGCGCGTTTGCACAATCAATGTTTCGCTCGGTGACGGATATTTGCGGCTGACGATCATGCGGTTCATTCTTCACGCACTCTCTGCCCTCTCTGAAGCA